GCATGGCGGGTCGATTGTGGGGGCAGCGTCGGGCGGCGCAACGCACGCGCAGATCGTCACTCACCAGGGCACCACTTACATCCTCCAAAGTGGAACTGGCGCTCTAGAGGAGGACACCACAGCCCTCTCTCACACCGCCAAAGCCAGTCCAATTACGGTGAGTTGCAAACTGCTTTTGTTCGTCAAGATCGGAAATCAAATAAGGCACACGTTTGCGTGCACCCTTCCCCTATTCGAGTGCTCTTAGGTGCCTTTACTGTCCGCTTTCGGATGCAGGTTCAATGGCTGGTGGATAATTATGAGACAGCTGAGGGTGTGAGTCTTCCTCGAAGCACCCTCTACTTCCATTACTTGCAACACTGTCACGAGAACAAACTCGAACCCATGAATCCTGCCTCCTTCGGCAAACTCATCCGCTCCGTGTTTCTGGGTCTCCGAACTCGAAGACTGGGCACGCGGGGCAACAGCAAGTACCACTACTACGGTATCCGGATAAAGCCCTCCTCGCAGCTTAATCACTACGTTGAAGACTCGTCTTTCACGCTGCGCCACTACCCCAACTACCACCGTCAGAGTTTGGAAGCCGTGGCCGAGTGGAAGAACCTGGCGGTCACAGGGAAGTCGTCGGCAGCCACCGGCGCAGTGCGACAGGGCGGCCACACTTCGACGTTTTCCACCTCCGCCGCCGCTGCTGCCAACAACAACGCCGCCTCCGCGGCGGGCGCAAGCACCTTCGGCGATGATCGATCGGGAGTCGGGAGCACGCGCACCTCCATAACCGGCGGTGGCGGTGGAACACAGTCAAAACACCAGCATGCTCAATTCCTGGGAGAGGCGACCTCGGCACTGCCGAATCTGAACGAGATCTGCCGATCTGCTGGACTCCCGATGCCAGGTACATTGTCCAAATAGGATCCTTTACATTCGTAACCATAACTGTGTCTGTGGTAACCTGGTTTTGTGGTTTGTACGCAATCGCCTCGCTATTTTTTGGAAACGCTGCGTTCTAAATTTGAACGCGTCGAAAGTTGACATGACATGCGATAAATACCCTCTTTATGCTACTCTCAGGCGTGACATTGTCCTCGTGAGTCAGCCATCGGGGTTGTGCCTTTTGTTTCTGTTGCGTGTCATGCCAAATGCCGGTGTGTAGAGAAGCACACGTGCGTGTAATCGCATGAGAGCGGAGTTTTGTATCGGCCGCCAGGATTAGGTCTTGAGCTATTGCCAAAGACTACAAATTGCTGTTTTTACTTATGGTTCTTGAGAACTTCGTCTGACTTTATTTATCCGACTTGACTTGACACTTTCACGAACGACCCCCCACTACCTCGTTTCGCTTCATAAAGAGTCTTCGAAATTATGCCTGACGTTCTTGTGTAGCAATTACGCGCGCTTCCTTACACGCATTGTGATCTATTAACAGACTTCTATGAGTAATCCCATTTAAGTTGTTCTTTCATTATTATCAAAAATCAATAAACGGTTAATGGTGTGATGAAATTGACGAGTTTCTGCGACTTTGTTGCATTTTGAGTGCAATTTCACCCCATCTTTCGGAGGAATTTCGGTTGAACTGAGCGCGAGCCGCTTTGTACCCTTTTGCGACAGGTTCAGACGACGTGGAGCTGTCGCCGCGTGTCCGCAACCCTTCGGGCTCCTCGAGTTCGGGCGAAAAGCCCAGCCCAATCGGCGCCTCTAAGAAGGCCTCGGCAGGCCTTGATGGGCTGCCTGCGAAGGATCTCATCAAATTCGCCATCCTCTACGCTCAGTCGGCCGGCAACATGCTTGACGCCGTGGTCAACCTCGACTTCTCGTCCATCGCTGGCGCCTGGAAGGCGTTTTGGCGCACTGGAGACCCGCAGGTGGGTATGCTTGGCATCCTTTGACTTCGTGGGTGTATCTAAATGTTTAGAAAAGGAGACTTGTGCGGTTGACATGTCTCAGTATCACAAAAAATGCATCCTCAAAGTGTGTTAGTGGGTCATTCTTTCTCATGTAAATTTTCATTACCCTTGTCAAGCAAAACGACCCCACTAACCAACTTTCAGCGTTTAAGGAGATTGTTACCAAGGTCCTGAACTTGCACAATTTGGCGTGTAACTAGAGACCCACAATATTTCAACTTAATGGTTGCCAACCTTCTAACGTCTTTCGAAAGAGTTGGTGCGTTTCGCCCTTGTCCAGGTCTGTTGTTCGAAAGCTGATAAAAGGTGGCCTAGTTTCTCGATGTTTTGTTTCTTTGAATGATTGCTTATATCAAATAGCGTGTATTTTGCTCTCTTTTTTAGGAGGATTCGGTGTTTGAGAAAACCCTCTCAAAGGAACGTCTGTACGCGCTTTCAAAGAACATAGTTGTTCATCAGTTCATTCGGCTTTACGACCACACCTTCTATCAGTCTCTGGCTGAGGTTCTCATTCCAAACGTCCTGCGTCCCATTCCACCCACCCTGACGCAAGCCATCCGAAATTTCGCCAAACACCTAGAGGTTAGTTCTGGGCTGCCCGAAGATGCCAACACGTCTACGAGTAGAGGGCGTCCATGCCCATTTAAATTTGCCTGGTATCCTGTTCTAGGTGTGGATGCGAGAGGCCCTGCACGACTTGGATCCAGTGCTGCTGCGCATCAAACTCTCCGCGGTGTCGGCACTTGCCCAGACCCTGCGTCGGTACACGAGCCTCAATCACCTAGCCCAGGCAGCGCGCGCCGTGCTCAAAAATCCCAGCCAGATCAACCAAATGCTCATCGATCTAAGTCGGGTCGACTTCAATAACGTCCAGGTTCGTGTTATTTTGCGTCTGGTAGTGTATGGTTTGTGGCAGCCGAGTAGTCGTGTTTGTCAGGTTAGGTGTCGTCATAAATGTATTTGCAATGTTCGCTCGGAGGCTGAAATGCTTTGAATGACTGTGTGAGGGATTAAAACGTGTGTTAGTCTTTATACTTGAAAATCTGTTTCAACTTAACGTGGTCACTGCAACTAACTCTTGGATCCCAGCTAACGTTCGGACAGGCAATCTTGTCACTATGAGGCGTTGTTGTTGATTCGATGGATTCCGCTAATTTAGGAGCAGGCGTCGTGGGTGTGTCAGTGCAGCGACGCAACTGTGGCTCATTTGGAGCAGGACTTCAAGTACATCCTGCAGAAGCAGTCGAGCCTTGAAGAGTGGGCCCAGTGGCTGGACACGGTTGTGTCGGGCATCTTGCGGCCCCTTGAAGGCAACAACCTCGCCTACACGCGTGCCGCCCACCAGCTTGTTCTCAAGTGGTCTTTCTACAGGTGAGCAGCACTTTTCTCGATACTCCAATCCTTATCAGACCCCACCGTATATCCCTTCTACACACACCAATCCAATTCCACAGTGGTTTGCCTTTGCGTACTTGGAGAACCTTCAACCGCGCAACTGTTTTCCCTTTAGTTCCATGGTGATTCGTGACCTGACCCTTCGGTCGGCAGCCAGCTTTGGGAGTTTCCATCTAATTCGGCTGCTTTATGATGAGTACATTTTCTACCTGGTTGAGCACAAGGTGGCAGCACACCTCGGCATGACTCCCGTCGCGGTTATGGGTGAGATGGGCAGGGTACGTCTCCCTTCTGCTACTCACTTTTTCCCACTTTGCCTTTGCTAATCCAATCGACTCAAAATTTAACTCCTGCGGTTTCTGGGGTTTCAAAGCGGAAGGGTTTTGACTGATCCTATTCCGTTTTTGTGCAGTCGGTGACAAGGCCGCACTGTAGTCTCTCGCGCACCACCGCGGCCGCCCTGGTGGCGCCCGCCACCAACAACAGCTCAGCTGCGGAATCCCGGCGTTCACGCCACGACTCAGTCACTAGTACTAAGGGCAAACTCGAGACTGTGCTCACCGCTGCAAAGGTCCCAGAGGAGGAAGAAACGGCGGCAGCAGCGGCAGCAGAGGAGGCCGTGTGCGAGGTCTTCGAGTCGGAAGCAGTGTTTCCCCTCCTGGCCACCTCACGACGCTCCGATGGCGAGGAAGACGAGGTGGACGAGTACTTGGAAGACGAGGAGGAGCCAGACGATGCCTCGATGAGCGACGAGAACGCCATGCTCTGTCGTGCCCACGAGTCGGCTCTGCTTAAAGCAGCGGAAGCTGCTGCCGAAAGACCTACGGACCAGACGGCGACTGTGACGAACGGAAGTACCACTGGTGACGACCTTCCGCCCCCTAAAGGGGATGAGGAGGAGGAAGAAGAGGCGGCGATTGTGGAGGAGGCGGAGGAGGAGGAAAGCACGAAAGACCAAACTCAGGAGTGCTGTGATTCACCGCCGCCCATTGTCACACATGTAAGCTGCCCTAGCTTCTCCCACTTTTTGTTTTCAAGTCTGTAGCGCTTGTCGGAAGCTTTATGAGACGAGATCCGAGTCTAACGTTTCCAGTATTCCGCGCTTATTTATCAAAGCTGTAGATATCTTCGTTTCACCAGTGTACGTACACCTCTACTAAAATTGTATTGGCTTAAACTTGGGGAGTTGTCATTCCCACTATCCGCTATGTACCAGCTCAGCGCAGACACATTCTGGATCACTTCTAATTTGCTGTGATTGGTTGTTCGACTTAGGCTTGGCTAAAATCCATTAAGATTGATGCGTCTTAGTTTCAAACCAGTCTACAGTTTGAATTAAGGCATTGTGAGTACGCTTGTTAGATGAATTCTGTATCGACACAGTCGTCCTCGTGTACATGTCAGTTTTATGTGGATTAGTAAAATGGCGACTTTCTGACCCGTCAAGGCAACCCCGATGCGGAAGGTGGTTCGCGTGACAACCTTCGATGAAGGCAAACCGCCAGTTCTAGTCACCGAGCAGATGCAGACCCCCGAGGGTGTGACGGCGACGGCAGCCATGTCCCTCATCATCCCCTCGGAAGCCAAACGCGCCAGACTCTCCTGATGTGGCTGAGCCGTGGTGTTAGACGTGTTCTCTTCTTCTTCTGTACATTTGTTACTTTCGTTAGTGCGCACCCTCGACTCCACCGTCCGATGCACATAACCCGCGTTTTTTACCACTACCACCACCACTCTCTCTCTCGTACGTTGGACGTTTCGCCATGTGTTGCTGTTCATCCGTGTGCAATCTATGGCTGTTGTTATTACCTCCACCCCCCAGTCTTTTGTATGTGTATGTTCCACGCTCGAGCGCCACGTCCTCTCCCCTCTACCCTCCTGGCACGCACACACACACACGCACCGCGCGCACACACCCACACACCTACTCGAAAACATGGATGTATAAGGCATTTTGGTATCTATTTTGAAACCCTTTTTTCTAGCCCACTTACCCACCACTCTCCCCAACCTCTTAATACTTCTCTAACTATTATCTACAATACTTCTAATTGGTGTCTGATGATGGCACCGTGTGTTGTGAAGAGGCAGCTGTGGGATTCCTGCGCGTGTGTCCTCTTATTCTCTTTGCTCAACCGGGAAATCGGGTCACCAGTGCGGCGTGCCTGTGTGCAGTCAATGGGGGCTGGGGGTTTTTATTTGCAAACTGTTTGTCCATCCTGTACAGACAACTGCATGTGAATCGGCAGCGATTTCAAGGCACTGTCCAGGCAGCCGTAAGGCATTAAGTTGGATTTTGCGATGGTTTATGACCGTCAGCAATCCTGGCCTATTTCGTGCTCAGGCTATTCCCCCTCTTGAAGACGAGACGCATTACTCCTAATCGCACCTTGGTCTACACAGCAGCACAGTTCCTACCTGGAACCCTACGGACTCGTGTCGGGGAGCGTTTCGATTCCCCTACTCCGAAGACGTTGCGGCAAGTAGTGGTAGGGGGTGTGCGATTGTTAGAGGTTGATTGTGCAAGTACCGCAATTGGATGGTTTCATTTGATCTAGACAGTGTAGGCCCAATGAGGCACTTGTGTTGTCTGCTGTTGACGGTCAATAAAAGTACGTTTTCTCGATAGGGCATAGAAACTAGTGACTTTTAGAAGACGGTTGCCAGTTAGAACAAAATGAGCCGTTACCACACCATGTGGGTGCTCGTGGGGAATTTCCGACGGCAGATTCCTTGCGCCGAAGCTGTTATGTGCTGAGCTATTTATGTCTATGATCTATTTTTAGTGCTGCCACACAAGTGACGCTCAGCGTTGCAGTCACCAATCCGTTATCAGACCTTAGCAAATGCGGTTATTTACGCAAAACGAGTACTGTTGCAGAAAATGTGTATTGCGTTTGGAGCATTGCCATTTAAGGATCATCTTACGCCGCCGACAAATCATCACAAACTCGTTAAGGGGTGTCGGCTACTAGGCTAAATCTTGATGTCAAATGACTGTTTTCGAGTCCCTGATGAGTGTGAGAAAGCAAGAATGTGAAAAATAACGCATATCTTTGAACTTCCGCCCAGTAGGGGTTGTATCGTGCTAATCAAAGGGTTTTGGATGAGTCGGGGGTAGAATTGAGAGGGTAAGGCAACCAGCAGGACAGATTTGTTCACTCATCATTTACCACACAGCATATGCATGAAAGGAATCACACGACATTTAAAATGCTTATAATGATGATAATGATAACAGAATTCTGAAAATCGCGTATTTTTGAGCTAGGAAAGTGCGATGCTCGTTGAAATTCCCTTGCAATTTTGCGTAAGTCCGGTAGAATCGTGGTCATGCGCAACCTTGAACTTGATGTTGCCACTTAAAAACTGTAACAAATATTGTAATACATTAGACACATCGTAATTAGAATGCCTTCCATTAGCATGGGTCAGAGGTTTTAATTTATGGACACAAGTTGACCGTCTGTTCCGGTGAAAGAATGGGCAGTGTTCGATGACTAGAAGAGGGGCTGATATTCTAACACGGGTACGTTACGTAGACACTTGCAAACCAGAAGTATCCAGAAAGAAACCAAAAGTAGCTTATTCTGAAGAATTTGAATAATGACTCTGCAGCTGATAAATATTTAATGCGAATTTGATTCACACTTCTTTCCTCTTTCAACCGTGCCTTTTTTAATTACATGATGGATCTGGTCACCATCTTCATGATGACACCTTTCATTCAGTGTGTGTGGAGTACACGAGCCCCACTATGAAAGAGAACAGATTCAACGAGGTAAACTTTTTTAATTTCAAGATACGTCCTTTAGTCACCGACCACCTTAGTCCACGATTCCGATGGAGAATTTATCAGCATTAACAAGGGTCAAAATGGTATTTACGTACGACGCATCTTGAAGATTACTCATCTAAAAATGCAGTGACAAGAGAACGTAGTTTGCGGATATGCTTGAAATATTTTGCCATCTTCCGTTATCCGGTTTTTTGTCAATGAACTCCAAATTAACACAAAAAAAACACAAAATATTTATTCTATAATACCTATGTGACGCCCATTCATAAGTGACCATAAATTAATTATTAAAATCCTTCCGAAAACTACCTAGCAAAATTATCAAAATGAAATATTAAAGGGTTGAGCTAGCATCTATCCTCATTTTTTTACATGAACTATTTATAGGAAATTTATTTTTAAAAAAAAGGAATTTGAATGGGTGAGTGAGAATAGATTGTTGCAAAAAATTAAAGGCCTGAGTGACTCAATATACGTCAGAGCAATAAATCCTAAATTTCCATTTTTTCATAGACACCTGATATGGCGCAACAAGTGCAAACCAAAATCTCCATCCTTTCTTTATCTTAACGCACTAATTTGTTTGTCAAAAAAATATTAGAAAAATAACTACTCAGTTACGTGATATTTTGCACAGCCTGCTAGCAAAGCAAGGGTCATGTACATGAGATTTAGCTTCTCTATTTACTAGTAATGATTCTTTAAATAAAGTCAAAGCGAGCTTTCTAGTACGCAGTGTTCATCGGTAGTCTTAAAATTCGTTTTAGTTTTGTATTACAAATTTATAGTCATAAAAGAAAATCCATTTAAATAAAAACTTTACTATGATTAATAGATTAAGAGATCCTAGAGTTATTTGCAGGCTGATGAACTTAACCAAGAAATAATTGTGTACTCGAAAATAACCAAACTCCTCCAGTTAAAATCGAATATCTGGCTTTTTAGAACTGCAGATGAAACCCACCATTCTATTGAAACTTTATACACTTTGGAAGGTTGCATAGAAAATGTATTTAAATTATTACCTTAGCATTGACGAAAAACATTTGTTAACTTGCTAAATATCGCCTTTATATTTATGTCATGGTGAGTAGATAAAACGAATAATTTGAAATCTGCTTTATTAAAACATGAAATCTTTCACATGACTGACATTGGTGAATAAAATATATAGAATTAGTTAGGTGCTTTCTTCCACTGAATTTGCATGTGCCTATTAATCGAGTCTCCTCTTCTATCAACAATTTGTTATTATGTTAATGATGATACTGTGATTGGCTAGTTTTAATTTGGTCTATCTGTCCCTGTGTTGTGGTCTTGTGCCCTACAATCTATTCTGCCCATGTAATTGCAGTGATATCTTTTCTTTCGTATAAGTTTAATCAAGCAGGTTTATAATTCCACAATTTATTAACTCTTCTGAATTGTCTGTTTTGTCAACGTGACCACACCATTTGTTTCGGATTTCACCCATTCGACCAAGGCCCACTTTAAAAATAGCTAACATCGTTTCGTTCAGCCCTTCTTGTTTGGTAGTTGACCGGCGGCTGGGTGGTATTTTCTTACAAATGCATTTTTATCTGAGGTTGTATGCATCCATTATAGCTTGTTTCCTCATAATAACCTAAGAAACCTTGGGTGTTTTGAATCATGTGTTGCTCACTGATCCCTCGAGCCTTGTGAGAGAGTTCGCCTGTTTGGCATGATTTTCCACAATTTCGTGCGTGAAGTCTTATTTGAGATAAGCTGCATTTCCTGCCCTAACGCCTCTCTCCAACGAACCTTTTGGTCCAATCCCTTTTTGCTTTCTCTTTTATTCTTAATATTGTAATTTTTGGACAGTTGTGGTTTACGGGTAACTTTCCTTGTCAGTTTTTTTCATGCAATAATTACATCTCCGTATTTCTATGTTTACTATCTCTACGGCCTCAAATAGTCACATCTAATAGCCGTGCTTTGCAAACTTTCACAAAAAAGTGTTTGTGTGTTTGTCCTTTTTAGTCATGGATGGGTTACCTCCAGATGGTGCCGAAGAACTTTCAGCTGCGCGACAAATTTTAAATTACATAATGGCGCCAAACAACGCCAACATTGCTTTTCCCTTTATGGACCGTATAGATGGCCAGGCTCTTGGACTTTATAAGTACAACGAAATTGTCCGGTTTCCCATGTGGCTAAGGAAAAGTAAGTTTTCTGGCTTAATTCTTGTCAATACCCAAAGTGCCCTGTGCTCTTTTTTTCGACTTCTTGATTTTAGTCTCTGAGAAATTGGACCAGAAGAAGTACCCTGGAATCAAGGAATTTGTTTGTGACTTCCGTCTTATTCTTGTTAACTGTTTCCGTTACAATGGTGTTGTTTCCCGTATGGGTCGAATAGCTGAAAAATTGGAGCTCCTGTTTGAGCAGAAATTGCAACTTTTGTCACCGTATGTCGTCCTTTAATTATATTTTATGACACATTATGAGGTGTAACCTCCCATATTATCCTTTTTATAGTGATATCCGCGCCAAGACAACCCTCCAGGCCAGCCTTGGGTGCGGAAACACCCAACAGGAAATGAGCAACAGCGGTACGTGGTTTCACAGATTTTGTTCGGAAGTGTTGTCTTAAATTTCTCGAGAGTCGATTCAGCGCTTCCTTTTCGGCCATGCGGCGGTCTTAAGGTCGTTTCTTGTATGTTGCCACCTTGATGGCCTTTCATCTTGCACAAGTGAACTAGTCTTGTGCAAGTCTCACTGGTGTCTCAGTTTGCACTTTCCAAGCATTAGGGTGCGTAGATGTGATTTAGTTGATTATCAGCCAAACTTGTGCTATCTCGTCAAACAGGAAGGATTTAGACCAAGAGGGAGGAAATCTACCTCTGTACCATTCACTGTCTTGTTTTGATCGGTCTCTCTCGATTTTCGCTTCTCTAAACCACTCCACACTGGCACACTTAAAGAAACATGCGCGTTCACGTGGCTGCCTTATTTATTTCCTCGTTCTCATTTTAAGGGCTGATCCGTCGTCGCTCAAGCACCCGCCTTTTCGGCTCTTCCACGGAATCTCAGACCTCACATCCAATCCGAGCTCTCATGGAGGAACTAGAGCACACCACCCAACAGGATGCCATCACCCCAGCCTCCTTCCTTTACGAGGGTCTTCCACCTGGCTCGCCCTCAATTCCCATCACAAACGAGAACAGCCACGCCTTGCTCGTCGCCCGTCTTACCCACTGGCAGCGGAAGCAGCATGAGGAGGAGTTGATTGCCGGCTGGAACGACTGGTGGACGTCCTGTACCCGTGGTCGTGCCCTTCAAGCGGAGTTGCGCAAATCCCCAGAGGTAGGCGCCAAAATTTGCCCTAACCAGTGGCTCGGTGGCGCGTAATACGTGTCTACTTGAACTGTCATGCCTTTGGTTACACGATTTACTACCTTTACGGTGTAGTGCTGAACTCGTCAGTTAGCCAAGTCTCTGCTTCCCGAACCTAATCAACCATTCTGGCAGTTCTGTGACATTGGGAACCGAAGTCACCACCTTTGCCATTTGCCGCTTGCATTTCCAGGCGAATTGTCATATTTCATATTTTTCTCTTGACTAAGTTGTACTTTTTTGTGTCTAGTTCCTGGAGGCCTATCAGCTGCTCTGGTTGGTTGATCCCTTTCTCGGTCTGAGCGACGCACTGGGTGTTGCAACCAGCCTCTACCACGACGGAGCCTTTGGCGATGCTAGTACCGACGCACTGCCGCACGCCTTTGTCCTGCCCCTCTCCACCTCCTCCTCGTCGTCTCGTCAGCTTTCTCTGACGGAGCTCGAGCTTGGTCTATCCGTAGCACCACAGGCCTCTCTCACCCTCGCGACCTGCGTCTCCGGCTTGCTCAACACGGCGAAGGAGCGGGAGGCGGTGGCCGCAGCGGTGGCAGCCCTCTCCGAACAGCAGCCGCAGCAGCAGCAGCAGCACCAGACAGTGGAGGAATTGGGTCTGCAAAATGGCGGGGAGGACAGCGGTGAGACGACGAGGCTCGCTAGTCGACGTCTGCAGTCGTCACACGTGACCACCGTGAAGAACTTTTCCACGCCGCCGTACGATGTGTGGGAGCGACGATTGGCCGCCCGGCTGGCCCAGTGGTACGAGGAGATGCCGCTGGAAAAGCGTTTGGAGGAGCCTTTTAGGGTGCGTGGACACGTGACTTGACCTGCCTCGTGTGTGCGTGTGTGTATTTGGTCCTTCGGTTGACGAGTGTTTTTTTGTCTTTTAAAAAAACAACAGTTGGAGCGACGGTCAGGTATTTCACAATCGTTCTTCAATGTCTGCGGCAACTACCGGAGCCCCTTAGAGAAGCAGCGGTTCCATGAATTGTCTGTGTGCCAGCAGGTCCACATCCTGAGAGCGCTAGTATCCACGGTTCTGGTGAGTCACGGTACTTCCTTGCAACCCGTCGGGGTAAAATACTGGGCTTTGCGTTGCATTGTCGTTGCGTGTAGACTAAAATAGGCTAAAATGCATGTTTTTTTTCTGGATCTTTGCTGATACTATCAAAGTGGCTCACTCTGTCTAAGTTACCAGGCAACACACACAGCTGTGACACAAACTGGTGGTTTTTGGCGCGTAAATCTGTAGCGGATTAACAGCGATCGCGCCTGAGTGAACCCTGGTTTCGACCTGACGGTGACAATGACTCATCCCCTTTTCACTGGTTACTATATCGGATGCCTGTCATCCGTTCACTCATCCACACACTAAGACATACACTTGGCTGGCGTAACGCTAATAAGCGGTCGTGTCCTTTGTCGCCTCTTCCCTCCATTCTCGGGTTGTTAGGGGGATGTTAACTAGAGGGTCATAAGGTAGTGCCTAGACCACAAGCCACTACAAATCTATGCCATTAGAACTAGTCTTTGAGGTCTTCATTTAGTTCTGAGTCGTGGTGCTGCTCGTGTATTTACTCTCTCCTACCTTGTCTTTAGCTCTCTAATGGTTATTTTGGATTCTCGGAGAACCTGCGCTACTCGCTGGACAAGTCGGGTGATTGGTCTGTCACCCGACCCACAGAGGTCGGTACGGACCCGTTTCGTGGTCTAACCTACTTCTACTTCCCCGAAATGCTACGTGGGGAGATGCCGCGCATCATGCAGTACCGTTATCCGCCGCATCCTGACGCGTCGTACTCGTCACCGCCTGTGGTTCGTGAAAGCCAGGCGACAAGTCGCGTCCGTGTCATCAACCTCCCCGGTCCCACTGTCCGTCTGCCCCATTGGGTCGACTCGAAAACGAGCCAGTCCATTCAAGCACATCTAGTCAGCCTGATTGAACGCGAGGTGGGTGATCTGTCCGCGAGAGCTGGTGACCGGGAGGACAGTAAATTGGCGAAGAGGTATCTGAGCAAAGCGCAGAACCTAGCCAGCATCCTGGAATCATTTCTCTCCGCTTCACAAGCCCCGTCGAAATCGAAGTCAAAGAAGCGAAAATCGCAGACAGCGGGATCGACTGATGCGCTTGCCTTTTCCGATGACATCAAGGTCGCTGATTTTGCATTTATCAACAAAATCAGCTGTGGCCCGGTGCCCCTGTCAGTCACTTACGCTAGGCAAGGTAGGCGTTGGCATTATTCCTGATTGGTTCCTACTCTGACTCGAAGAATTCACTGTTATCGTCTCTTGTCGTGTAGCCGGGAACAATTCAAGGTCCTCATTAAGGCCAACAGATAGCTGTACCTCGTTGGCGGAGTCTGTGCGCACCAACGATTTGGAAACAGGCGAAACAAATTCGGGGTCTGAGACTCCCAATCACGCAAAATTCTATCAGGATGAATCAAACACCTCCCCACCCATCAGACCTATTGAATCAGAAGCCTACGACTGTTTGGTAAGCCCACGATTCTGCGTGTCGCGACCTTTAGCTTTGATTCTTGCATTTTGCACTTTCTGCAAATCATTGTTCTATTTATGGCAAATTATGGCCTTATGGAGATCTTTGATTTCCACGTAGCCCCAATCAGAGGATGAGAACTCGCGTGCGGAGAAGGCAGATAGCGACAAACTTGGCGTGGATGGGTTCGGACAAGGTGTAGACGAATGGCAGGCGGATGCACCGCGTGACACCAATGCCGCCAGCAGTGGCTGCACCACTCCGTGTCGCAACTCCGACGTGGAGGACGAACGCGAGGCGGCGACGAAGAACACGGAGGCCGTCGTTACCTCCTCCGATGATGTGCGGAAGGAGGCGGAGGACGAGTTTCCCAAGTGTAACGGCTTTGCCACTTGTGAGGCGTCTCCGAAAGCGGAGGCGAAGGAGGAGGAGGAGGGGGAAGGGGACAACGTTGACGTCTCTAGAGGCGAACAGCCTGTCAAGAAGACCGACGACGTCGCCGAATTCGTATGTTAGCACTTCTCGTTTGTGCGCGTGTCCGTGTCCGTTGAATCAGTCGGTTTGTAACACGCTAAACTCTCCCTTAGTCTTAAGTATAATGTTGTCGGTTTCGGTTTGCCATGTGTTTCTGGGCTTTCAATGTACCGCCTTTGTTAATTACTGGCTTTCTCAAATGCCCCCTTCCGTGTACTCACACTAACTTTGCTGAAGGGCAGTGCCTCCAAGCGGGTGTGTGTTGCGTTTGGTAGTGTGTCGCGTTCAACCGGTAAACAGGACACTTCAAAGAAATCCGGCATTTATGACACCAACGTTATCAGCCAGCATGAAACAAAAATGTCCAGTATTTTCGATATTTGCTTCCCAAATCTAGATTCCCGATGCCTCCTGCGCCTTCGATACCGTAGTCTTTGATCTGGAGTCTTTCTGCGCCCTCCTGAGTGATACATCGTCGCGTGTCGACAAGGGACGGCGACTCCTTCAAGACTTGGTCAGTGCCTCGCAGGAAGAAGACAGCTGCTTGTCAATGCGGCCGGTTGTTGAGAGGATTGCCCAGGAATTGGGTGACGGTGTTGTCGAGCGAATCAAGGCCGATCCCTCGCTTGCAGATGCGCTGGAGGACAGGGTAGAGGCGAAGCCAGAGGAGCCCGCTGCAACCGCTGTCCCCATCCGCCCGACGAAAAAACGGCGCAGGGCCCCTCTAATGGTGAGTTTCACGCTTAGCCGAGGTGGTCGTGTCAACCACGACATCCCTTGCGTGAGTTAACACACGTTCAGTTCACCTCGTGAGTCAGATCTCTCAGGTGTTAGGTCTTGGCGCTTCCCCAACGGAAACATGGAGTCACACTCGCTGCGATCTAATGGAGATACTGTAATAACATGCCTTTTTCCTACCCCTCCTTCCCCCAGTGTCCGAGGTCGAAGAAATCCAAGAAGTCGTGTGCCCAACAGGAGGCCAAGACGGAGCCCGAGGACTCAACACCGATGCGGATCCTGCGTTTGCACGAGGATGCTGTGGAGACGCTGGAGAGGCTGGCAGATGGTCTTCGGGACCTGGAGGCCGTGGCCAGAGCAGCGGAGCCCGAACGGGTTGCTGCGCACCGGCTGGCCGGTCTGCGACTTCGAAAGGACATCGAAGCTTGGGAGGAGGCGAAGGTGGGTCTTTACTGCTCTCCTACCGCCGTACACTCGCACCCGGCATGTTCGCGCGATGCTCGCTTCACACACGGAGCACTTCCAATTGTCGTGTTAACTGGTTTTAGCACATCTCGCTTCCTCTCGTGTGTGTGTGTGTTTGGGGAGTAGTCGGTGCTTGCTCACACGACCTTCAGAAGGTGCCACATTGGCTCATTCCATCACGGAATTTTTCAAACTTACCACGAGGCACAATTGCACTTGACGAAGCACGTTCTCTTAGCTCGAAGTTGCTGCGAGAACGGTTTGGTGTTGAGCAGCCTTTTATTCAACAAGTTATTACAGTCTCGTTCAAACTGGTTTGGGCGTTATTTTATTAGCAGGTCAGGATGAATTTACTGTTTGAGAGTGGCTTGTTCAATCATAGTCTAGCATACTGTCCAAAGAATAGATTTGCTCCGTGAGCCTAAACCTTCCAGAGATCGGCACTGAGTAGTCTGGGTGTGATCAAAATTTGAACTCTTTTCACATTTATCTAACACAGAAGCCAAAGCCGAAACCCACACCGACTCGAAAGATCAAGGCTCCGTCGTCACCACCGCCGCCGCCGCCGCCCGAACCATCAGCTGTGGAGGCGCCAGCGGCAGTGGAAGGGTCACCGCCTCCGCCCAAACTGCCGCTTCCGCCCTACCAGCCGCGCACAAGCCCCCCACCCCCTCGACCGCCGGTCTTCATTCGCCACCCCCATGCGGCGGTGGTTCCCCGGCCCCTGGCGCCGCCCCACCCGGCCTCCCCCGCGAACCCGTCGCCTCGCCGGATTTTCCGCTTCTACGACACCCTCTTCACGGAGGACGCGCGACCGGTGCGGCTGGAGGCGAACGGCGCCGTCGTCTTCATTCCCCCCGAGACCATTCCGCTGGGGCACCGTCAGATGGCCAAGCAGATGATCGAGCGCTTCTGCGCCACCGTCGCCTCGTCCGCTGTGCGTCCGACCCCGCCGTGAGGACTGCTCACCGCGCGACCGCATTTATTAAACCCCTGTAAATAGCAGAGCTCTGCATGCCCCCCCCCGCCGCCGCCACCTTCCTGTCCATTCCGAGTTGTCCCTAATTGTGCGTTGATGAGATCTTGATTGTATTGTGTCCCCCCCACCCCCACCCCCCCCATGTAGCATTTCGGATGTCGGAGATGAAATTGCAGCGTTGTTTTGCAGCTGCACGTTTTTTATTGGGGGAGGGGGGAACCAATCAAAACGTATCAGTTGTCGGGACCTGTCGTATTACACACATCTCAGAACTTGTGCTAACGACTTATTCGGATAGGGGGCAGTACTTTGGATGGGTTTCGTCATTAAGAGGCCGGGCAATTAGTAGCAATCCTACCTTGTCCCGATTCAGGTCTCTCTTTGGGGAACTGTTGGACGGTGACGACTTCTGCTGACTTTCTGTAATTAGCTCTCTGCTCCCGACTTGCGGTCGCTGGAGTTTGTTTTGAGGTTTTCATGAAATGAAGTCGAGCATGTGACGGAGTTTTGCGTGGGGTGGTTGGGCTGCTTTCAAAGTTTTTGACTGCAAAGAGTGAGCAGGACAGTTGCCCAAATTGCTTCCGAATTCATGGATGTAATATGCGCAATTTCTTTTGGAAGGGCAGAATGCGAATGCGTCTGTACAGAAGAAGAAGATGTCATTGTACATAACCACCACCACCGCCATATATTTGTTAATATCATTTCCATACAGATTTAAACAGGCCACAGAAGCTCAATTAACTCAAATTCATCTTGCCTTAAAGTAATTGTGAAAATTCGGCAATTTCAGGCGTCCCTCGTCGTTTCACCCAGCAAAAGCTCCTCAGGCATGTAGCCTATCAATGTGACGAACATCCGCGGCTCTAAAGTCACTTACCGGAAAGCAATCTGGAAAACTGCTACTTATTATATTAAGGTAGTAATAGGTTTGAATCGAGATCAATGACCTAGTTCTTTAGACGTCAGGCCAATCCACCAATATGAAGGTGGCGTCGTTTTGGGCCTGGCTCCAAATGTTCATTTTATTCCTTATTGTAAATAAAATCTTTAAAATTAGATAAAGTTAACAGTTAAAGGAGGCTCTACTTTTTTTAATATAAATCCTTGTCTGTTTTTATATTGTCTCCCAATGTTTCCTTCCCGTGAAAGGGAAGGCATCTACAAAACTGACACAACTTGGCTACTTTAATATTGTAAGTAAATGTTGAATTAGAGATAAGAGAGCAAATCGGTATCACTTCACTAACACAAGATGACCCTGAATAAACCGATTCGAGAAGAATGACCATTAGAGGTTTCAGGAGCAAGGTTTGAATCCCAGATTCAAATCGTCAAGTTGTCAAGCTCGTGCGACATCGATTGCGATGTGCGATCCCACCACCACCTGTGCGTTGTAAAGATTCCTTGTTTTAAGTCAAAAATTAGGTCCAACACCACCGTCGCATTCATTGACCAGAGTTTTTGTAGCTGGTCCCAGGGTGGTTTCGGGGAACCATACCAGGGCCAACTGAAAGAAGAGTGAAAAAAATGCAAATGGCGCGTAGCCCAACTTATTTATTGATGCAATAGCCATGTGCGTGTGAGAGAGTACAGAAAAACAAGTGCGTTTATATGGCTTCGCTGGGCATCGATCTCTTATCGAACGTAGTTGCGTGAAGTTCATTCACGAAAATCGATTGAATCGTGCTCACTTATCACTACCAGCTGTGCTGGCTTGCTGTTCACCACAAGTTCAATTTAATCTCAATTGCCTGTTGTCTGTTCGGCAGCAAACTGGCAGAACGCACAGCAGAAGTACAGAGTTTTTACCGCGCCAACACCACCACAGTTGCCAAACTTTCCACAGACTAAAGTGCTCACTGGAGCAAGCTAAGCCCCTTCCTCCACCTCCCCACTTCCAAATTGTCTTTAAAGTGTTGGAAAGCATTAGTTATGCGTAAGGACGGTTTATAACTGGGACAATCTGTCCCAGCTGGGACGTTATGTTGACGCTTAGCGGGGAACAACAATTCCTACTGCTGAGTCACTAAATCGCCAATTTGCTGAGACGCACGCGAGGGCGAGGGAGAGAGAATATGCTTTGCCCCCCTCCCAGCGTGGTTCCACATTAAACTTCCACCGTCTACGCCCTGACAAAGGCTGTTCATTAAGGTGATCGATTGACTGACCCAAATCTAGGTCACCTTCGCTTTGAGACAATCAGTGGTTTTGCCTTGCTCCTAGTCCGGTGTGTGTTTGCAAATGCAGGCGACCTGATCTTATCACCACTTAGCGACTAAATACCCGGAGCAGACTAATTGTTTTGCAACACGAAATTCGCCTATTTACATCAGACTATCAGATTATCGCTGTATTAGCATGGAAGGTGTTTTGACGAAAAGTGGTAATGAGAATTTGCTTGATTTTAGACACTGGGTTGGTGTTACCGTTGATGAATTTTGCCGCAAATGGCTTTTGCAGACGACTCTGCTCAGATACCAGAATCACGATAAATTTGTTGCCAGCTAACTTAGAGAAACTGAACTTGAAGGGATTGTTTTGGTGTGGAAGAAGTGGAAAAACATCACATTAAATACATGAAATTCCACCACCGCCACCACCTCCTAAACAAGATACCACTTTTCAGGCAAGACAAAACACCAGTTGAATTTTAAATCGAGAGTAGACGCATTAAAGGACAAATGGTTATCCTTTAAACTTGGGTGTATCAATTAATAATTAAGTAGATGGCAGGTTTAATCGGCAAGGTGTCCTTAGTTGGCTGGTAAAGCAGAATCCAGGTCAACCGGAGTATTACCTAGGGAGTTTTATCCTTTACGTGCAAGTCCTGATTTACCCCTTGTTTTACTATATTAGCTTTGTTGGAACACTGTTCAAATTATCCAATAGCAGTAAGCGTCTGCATTTGTTGTATACACTTACTGTTTACCTTACTTGTTGTCGATATACTTATTGATTAGAATAACCTGAATACGTCGTGAGTCTGTCGGTTAGTGTCTAAGCTGCTGGTAATTAAAAGAGTGTTGTAAAAAGATGAACATCGTCATATCGATAGACACGATTTGGTGAATTCAGGTACACCACAAGCCATAGTCATTCGTAGCGAAGTAGTTTCATCTTGCAGCCAAAATTGCGCCACAATTCAGTCCTTCTGTTGATCCAATCATAAGAATTTTCCGTGCTGCAGAATTTCAAGTGACATTACCATGGTTGGGCAATTAGAGGGACAGAATGATCCAAGATAGGAAGAACGCGATCACGCGGATGCTGACCGTTCGATAAATGCAGCTGCTTCAACAACCAGATTTCTCGATAATAACAGGCAGTGGTGTCCTCTTTTAAATGAAACGCACTTTATTTTGCTTGGAAAATGCGAAACTCTACTGTGCGTGGCTAGCCACAAACCACACCCTCTCGTCACGAATCCCACAAAGGGGTGTCCTTTTGAATTTCTAAACTACTATTGACGTCGGAGGCAACGAGAACAGAGTATTATTGCCTACTAAAGGAAAGAATATGTTAAAAACACACACAAACACACACACACAAACATTTATACAGATATATGTATCTTCTGGGAACTGTGGCCACGCTTTGTTCCTCCAATAACGTGAATGACAGTTCCACCAATCAGAAAATTCCCCAGTATATAAGTAATCGCGTTGCAATAGCAGAGGTTAACTTGAGTGCGAGACATGCTCAATCTCTTTTCAAAATCAACTGGCCGACACTATTCCAATAAATTCGAGTACTCCAGCAATCCACGACGACTGTCCGTTACGCCAAGCGGGAAGACATTTCGCAGACACACATACGAGGGTGGCAGCGCCTGTGCGGATGCCAGCGGTACCTCCATCACGTCCAAGGGATTAGATCGTCTAAGTTCTTTCCTGGGTATTAAGAGAAAGGAGTCGTTTCAGCCCGAGTACTTTGAATTACTCGAGAAGCATGAGGCCTTGGAGAGGGAATTGCGAGAAATCTGGGGCCTTATTGAGTACCTCCAGCGGGTGTATGAGTTCTCCAAGACCCTAGACCCTGTGACACGCTACCGTCGACTGAAGGCATCTGTAAAACGAACCAGCATGTTTCTACAGGTCTTCGCAATCCAGTCGAGTCTTGCGGACGACCTGGGAGTATACTACACTAGCGTTTGCACAGGGGAGTACGACCGCAGCTTCCAGAACGCCATTCAACAGGGCTCCGTCGTCGGCAGCTCGGCCAAGGAGGCCGAGGCATTCAGACAAAGGGAAGAGGCCTTTAGTCGTACGTCTTATGACTCAAAATTTGCTAATTATGCCGGGCAGCTAGTCCACAATGTAGTCTAATCCATTCGTTCCTCATAGAACTTGTCAGATATGTGTGTTTGTCTTCTTATGTCTTCAAAGTGGGACTATGTTAAACCTCATCTACTTTCTTTCAAAATCAAACTCCACTCCACTTTTGAACCTTCTTGAAAAGCTCACAACTGCAGTTTGCAAAGTGAACCCATACCTTTTAACCTTTTCTTACAGCAAGGTGAGCAGATTAAATCTGATAGGCTTTCAGATGCCTTTGCATAGCTCTCACGCAATCAAAGAACTTTGGTTGTTGAGTTGGTTGATGGGGGTGGCTGCAAAAACGGGGCATTGAGGGAGCACGCAAATGTCAAATTTTGTCGTTTCATAGTCTTTGCTTAGTAATTCGGGTATTCGCAAATGTATGCATTACTTTAAATGCATACCCTTGCGTACTTGTGAGTTTCCGATTTACAAAAGATGGTCAATTTTTTTGGCTATTCCAGTCGCCTCCCCCCCATGGAGTTGGCCAAGAAAAAGCGGGTAAATTCACGCGTCCGCCGGCTAGCAAGATGCTGAGTCAACTTGGAGAGTGTTAAGTCTGCAAAGCGGAGCCTTTTAAGCCGATTATGACATCAACAATATCCTCACATCCACCTTTGTGAGCCTCAGTAGCTCGCCAGTTGTCATGGGAGTTTTCATATACGATTTTTCCCTAAAAGTGACATCTATCAAGTAGCGGAGAGAGATCTTCAAAACAGGCACAATGCTATCTAATTTTCGAAACTGAAATTGCACACCTGCCAGCCAATCAAATTCGCAGAGATACTTTAGTTGCCTTAATTGCTCCTGACACCACCTGACCTCGGTTGCAGGGCGTTGGCGACTTGGTAAGTCACGTGATCGTCTATCGTCAGGTCAGCGAGACCCCACATCCACTAGTGGCGTTCAGCTCCTTCCCAGTTCACGCATTCCCCAAGGCTGTGCAAACCTCCCAACCGACATTCACCGCCTACTGGTGGTGTTGCTTAAATTAAAACTAAATTTCCCAATTCCCCCCTGTGACTTTTCCCTTTACTCTTCGCAATTGCGTTTTCTTTTCAAGTTGAACAGAAACGCAACCTCACATATTCTGCGAGAAGACGGTTGGTGGTGGTGGGGGAATTAGGCAAAACCTCCTGTTTAAAGGCATTTTCTGCGAAGAGCGCTCAAGTTTTGCTTTTTTTGCATCTAAAATGGGCATTTTATTGGCAGATGTGAGGGCTCTTTTAGTCGTCCGGAGCACTACTCGAAATATGCGTGTCCGGGAATGGATGTATGCACATTCCCGATCATGACAGCGTTCAGTGAAGAGTTCATTTTGTGCAGTTGCCATGGTTTTCGGTGGATTTGAGGGTGAAAAGTGCATGTGTACTATGGAACGATTGGCTTTATTGCATTCGCCTTCAACCAGTGCGTCATGTTTAACTTGGTCCTCTTGCATAAGTAAACACAGAATCCAAAGTGATGACGCGAATGGTGATGCGACGCTTTTAATGTCACACCATCGGACTTTGTAATTGCTCCTTGTCGACCCTAAATAATTAGTCCCGTCGATTGGATGTTTCTGGTGTGATTGTAATTTGCGGCAAAACGTGAATTGCTGGAGAACCAAGGAAAACGAGGGGAATCCACTGGGGACAATTCCCCAAATGCTACATTTGTCCCCCGGTCAATTTAACAGAAATGGGGTTCAATTTAATGACGTGGTGAATAAACAAATAATTTCGAAATGCTTCCATTTTTTTCAGCCAAACCTTAAGAGTATTTCATTTGAAATTTGGCGAATCGGATTGGCCAATCGATAACAAGCCCCATGAAGTACGGGAATCTCGAAAACGTCGATTGGGCAGGGGACTCATTGCTTTAATACGACAGCTCGAGATTTCCCGCGAAATGATTGGCTGGAGGAAAGAACTCGATCAAGTTATGAAGAAATCATAAACTGAATTTGTCTATAACAGTTTTAAGTAATTTAAAGGCCATTAAAGCTAAAAGTTAAAATGATTAACATTATTTTTGCTGAAACGAACATGATAAATCACGGATTATTTACAAAGACTTGCCATCTAACATTCTTGCTGTTACATTTACGTAAAGTAGTGACATCCAAGTACATCACGGCTTTCATTTAATTTCTTAAACGACCGTATGGACTCGTTAGGTGGCCTTTTTTCTCAGCTGCCATAACTCACACACTGCTCCTTCGTGGTGACTTCTACGTAGTGCCCTGGTGTAGATGCCCTTAGGTATTTACACATCTCGTATCATCTAATGGTTTTAAAATTCGCAAAATTATCAATAATCTAAAAAAGAAACTTGGTTCCAGGTTTTAAGATACCTGTGGGAATGCTGCTTCGCTAATAGCATCGCCATCTTCAGGGAATGTGGTGAGTACGCCAACTTCAAGTAAGTGGAAGCCAGATTTGAGCTCAGAAATGCTTCGTTGGAACTATCCAATGTGCAAAAGCCTTTACTTGGAGTGCCTAAGCATTTATCACACCGTATTAACCTCGTCGAACAGAGTTAGCAATGCGTGAACGCATACACCCTTTTGTCTAATTAACCAACTAGGCGACATCAAAGCAATCGGAGGATGTAGCGTTGTCGAACACATTCACCGTAAGCATGAATTGCAAGTTCTAGGTAGTTGGTGTCATTTGTCACTGAACAAAAATGTCACGGAAAAGCAGGTACATTATACTGGCATTCTTTATTCATGAAACCAATTGTCTTGGGGAGAATTTTTCCAGAATCGTGTCTAGCCGGAGTGCAACGGCGCAATATGCGAAATGGGCGTTTAAATGCACGATCACAAAATTCTACTATTTTTGTTTCCACAGGACTTGAACTCCATGAGGTGATCAACAACATAAGTTATTTGAAGGAGGACATTGAAATTCTTAAGATGAAGAACAAACTCCTGTTAGCGGAGCTCACAGGCCTCTGTGATAGACTGGCGGGCATTCGCCAAGTCAATCCCCTCTACAGATACTTCTTCCTCAAACGCCTGATTCGTACAGTCATTTACGGTGACGCAATACAGGGACTTGTGTAAGTCTACGAAATTATCGTTAAAAGCGTGCTTGTAAATGTGCACGACTGTAACGAAGCAGTGGGCAAAACGATAACCGCGTGGCTGCAAACGGCAAACGCCTTTTACCCTGCTTCTACCCAAGTCTGATTGTGACTCACCTCGCTTTGCTGACTTACACGCTGAGGCATTCAAGTCAACGATCGATACGATTGTTTACTTCCGATTGGTTCCTGGTAGAGCGCGCGATTAAACGAAATTCTGGAAGCTGACCACATGTTCAATATACGCGCTCCTATTTAGTCTTCTTTTCTTGAGAATATCTTGGATTAGTGACGTAGCTAGCTCTAATATTCGCCAAATCGTTCCCATTTTGCTTCACTTAAATGGTAACAACATTCATTTTTCTTTCAGAAATCCCCGCAAACTGTAGTAGATGAAAGTACAATCTTTCAGAGAAATCTGGACATTTGCACTTTGCATTTAAAACATGTCTCTTGACTTTGTTTAAAGTTACCCCGTTTATTCGGGAGATTAAAAACGTACATTAACCGAATCAGAAATTGCATTAGTGATTATAAATCGCGGGAAGCATGTTGAATGCAGGAACCGTTGCAGTTAAGTCCTTTAAAATTGGCAATGATAAATTAATCTTGCTAGCACAGCAAGTTGAGTTGCTATCAGTTGTAAATTGCCTTATTTCAGGGTTAATTTGTTGCACACTTGGATTTAAACGCCTCAGCAAAAACGTGCGAGGTCTGGCAACACCTGTGCTGCGATACTACTGTGTCGGTTTAGATATCGGTATTTTGGTTGGAACTTAGAGTAATTATCCATGTGTAAGAAAATTTGCGGATCAAATCGTTGAAATTTGTAGTACATCCTACTTAACAAAGTGGTCCTCAGACCAACTCATAAAATTGAAATCCTTTGTTTTGTTTGGAAAGCCACACGTCTGGGAAGGATTTTAAATAAACCAATGCGAGTGAGGGAAACGGCCAATGACCGGGCGTTCTGTGCTCGTTGTTGCACAAAAACATTTAGCCTGTAGGAACGACATTCTGTTTTGTCCAAAACTTATTTGGCTTTTATCCTTTGGTCTTCATTGGCGTCCTGCCCAGTGAACATCTACAGGATCATGGAATGCCGTCGCCATAGTGAAGTGCCAACTCCAGTGACTCGAACCAAATTACCACTATGTGAACCCATTCAACCTGTCACCGACGGTGATGAGAACCACATAAGTCCGTCGACATTGCTGTCTATCGTTGTTATCATCACGCCATCCCCATCCCTGCTTCTTCGCTGCCGCAGTTTCAACTATTTATAGCTCACCAGCTTCCAGATTTCGATCTTTCGTTGTGAAACACTATTTGGACGAAAAGCACGCATTTTGGCTACCGTCTGCACTTTCTTCCTCCTCGGGCCAGCACTTTGCAGTCATCTTCAATTCCGCTGTGTACTCCTCCCAGAGTCAGCGCGGACTCATCCAAACAATCAACAACAGCTATTTTAGTCCCCATACTGAACGAAGAATCCTTTGTTGTCAAACACAGTGACTTTCAGAAGCCCGCACGCCACCAAGACATTTGCCAAAAGTCTGCCAATTAACATACGAGACATTGAGTTAATCATTTCTTTCATTAATGTAAGGGGATGTTCTCTGTATGTACAAATTTATTTGCATCATCAGTTACTGTCCTCATATACCTGCTTCTCACTGCTCTGATCAAGCACAGCCAATAAACGCGCACCTACTTTTACAACTCCTCGTCTTTTCTCTCATGAGGTTTTTCCTCATTTACCAACTTATTGTACCTCCATATAGATCAGTATTAACCCTAGCAAACACCTCTCGGACACACACAACTCGTGGACGCTTGAAATTTCCTAAGTTTGTTAATTAGCTGCTCGTAATCCCGAAGACAAGCTAGCACAGCATAAGCCTTGAATCACACTTAGGCAAGACAAACATGCACACGGGTCGATAGGCGATCGGGTTAGCATCGATGATCAGTGCGTAAGCTGGTTATCAATTAACAACATGGGTAACGTGGCTGGATTTTCTACGATAAAAAAGAAAACAGGACAATCATCTACGAGCATTAAGCATTTGAAGGTGTTTTCATGGATGCCTTGCATTTACCCACCAACCTCGGTTAATTATCAGATTGGTTTGGTAACATCACAGCACTTTTTGGCACGCTAATTAACGTATGTGTGTCCTCACCACGTCTCGTGACCTCACTTAAGCCGCAGCAGTGATGCCGGTGGTTTTGGCAGTCTGTAGTTTTCAACTTACGGACCATTTTAGCCTGATACCATGACCAATCTGAACAAGCTTTGTCGGTTACGTCTATCGATCACATACTTGATTGATTTTTGCACTGATGATCTAGCAAGAAGGATAAGACAAGTCTTTGGTTTTGTTCAACTACCCTCTAGGAAGGACAATTCACCCAAATCGAAGAAGGCTACGCGAAGATTTTCACCTGATCTTGGTTTATTCAAATTGATGTTTTGCGGTTTGGGCTTATAACACAAAAGCTGATTTTCACAATCTTCAAAATGGGGCAGTTAGTTCTTCTTCCCCCAACATCGATGTTTCTCAAATCCTTCTTACATAGGAAACAAGCTAACACTTTCGTATTGAGTTGACCAATGTTAAGGAATCATCAGGCACATCTGAGGACAAACCATGAAATCTCCTTGCAGTGGAATTGATGGATAAATCGACTGTAATCGATGCTGATTTATTGAGGATTTTATGAACCACAGAAGTAGCTGGAGTTGATCTTATAAGCAGCATGTTTGAGTGATTTTAGCATAGGCGGTTTAAATTTTTATATCAGATTGTACGAGAATGTCCGTGTTTTCGGACAAGAAACTTTACGTGTGGCTGAATACAATCGGCAGAAAATTGTGCTGACATCATTAAACCGGCACACTTCAAATATCCCCCTGTGACTGCTACCACCCTTCGTGATGAAGTTTAGAAGGGGACCAACAGCGGAGCGTGTTGAAAAGTGCTGTAGTTACCTGCCCGATTTTCCAATCTTGGTAATTTGCCAGGCGGGAAAACCATAACCGAAAAGGGAGCAGGTGAGGAAATGCAAACGTGTTGAGGAGTGCACCTCAGGGTTGGGAAGCTGGTGCGAGTGTTCAAAAATTGATAATCGATTGTGAGGGAATCGATTAAAGAACTATTTTAAAAAATGACCCCTCTTGAACAACGTTCTCCCACAAGAGCAAATCACAACTATCCCTACTAATGCAGCTTAATGTGGAGAGCAATCTTGGTGTTAGTATATGGTTTATTTCGGTTGGTCAGCTTTTGATTCAGACCCTTAAGCCTCGCTAAGAAGTCTATCTGACGCAAATTACGCATTCAGCAATTAGTTAGACAGAATGCTGGTGCGAAATATGCCTATTTAATCAAAATTGGCGATGTCGAAGAGCATTTATGTTTCGTTACTACAAAGTAAGACCCAAGAATTGCTACTAGAAGCAATTTTATTGCATCACTTTCCTTGGTAGATTGTGGCCCACTTGATTGCAGTGCCACAAACCACTGACCTACTGCTCTCACAAGCAATATATTCTTACACTGCAAATTGATGATGTTCTGGTCGTAAATGCTGCTAAAACGCCTCACGAACGTTATTCATTGGCCACGAACTAAGTTACAAAAGGTCCTAGATTTAGAATTAGTTACACTGAGACGTTTTGGTCGAGACTAAAGTGGAATAAATGGAAGTGAATGCCAGGGCCTGTCTCATCATTAGTTATGGGAACTACAAGTGGCATGTCGACACTCGAGTTTCTGGTTTGCTTTAGTGAGCCATCGGATGTCGATGATGCCATGTCAACACTCGACAATGTCCTCAAAACCGCGCCTCGAGCCAAACGTGAGGGGTCCACGGAAAGAAATCAAGCAAGGTAAGAAATTGTATCTTGTCGTTTTAAGGGCACCTCCAGTTGCGATTAAAACCATCCACTTGCAAATCAAACGATTTCAGAACCCGTTTCGACCGAATCTATTGGTTGTCAACAGAGAATGCAGCTTGACTGTGGTTAGCCTTGCTGTCAAAGAACGATCTTTGTCATCTGCGAGGGTCGCTAAGGGTGAGCTCGGACTGTGGCCCAAATGACTGCAAAATGCTGAATTGACGGAGAACGCGTTAAGGGTTACCTGTGGAGGTACATGACCTGCCTAGAACCCAAACCGTTGCTTGGTTAAAACCCTCCACGTGCCCTCACAAACTCCACGTAAACACGCCACACACACACACACACACTCGCATGTGGTATGACCTACAGATGCTGAAGCTGTTGCCAAAATTGAGGGTGGAGGTGTGTGTTGGTGAGGTAGATTGACTAGTGGATGTGCCAATCAAGCTGGGAGCAAACTGACCAATAAAACACCTCCACACATCCATGATCATCTCAGGGACCGACCGAACAACAGATGGCCACCAATCACAGTGTGACTGTAGCACAATTCTGAGACACGATGGTGGTGAACTGGAAAGGCGAGAGAGGAGTGTGTAGTGTTTGAGAGAAGGTTGGTCTGTTGGTGTGTTGGATTGCCTAGGAACTGTCCACGTGCACGACAGGCAAGAGGCCGTCGGAGCCGCATGCGAGCGAATGAGGTGGACGCGCGTGTTCGCACTTGACCACCAGATCGAGTTGTGCTGTGGCCAGTGTGCCTGTTCACAGTGGACGAGCGCAAGCCCGTGAGTGTGTGTGCATGCGTCTTGGCCGAGTTGTCCGCGTGCATGAAACACACGGAGAGCGAGGCGAAACCAGGCCAAAACGGGCAAGCAGGGCGACGGCGATTGCAGACATATGGTGTGACGTGTTTATAACCTTTAATCTCGCGCATTCGAGCAGCCAAGAGCTCAAAGCGCAGAGCTCCCCGTCGAAAGGAAGGGAAGGGGATGCGGGAAAACGGGGTGTGGGAGTGTGGGGTGAATGGCAGAGGCGACCACGTGCTCGTTTCTTCGGCAGTGTGACCGTTTGCCTTAGTTGCTGCTGTTGTTGTGAGAAGCGATAAAAATGTGGGTTGGAGGGTGTGTGTGCGTGTGTGATGTGCCGTGAATGACAGCAGTGGACACGCATAATGAACGAGATTATGTAGGCGGAGGAAAATGCATAGACGCCGTCACGTGCTCTACTCCCACCTTGGTTTTTAACCAGAGCAAAACCATTTTTAACAGAGTTCGGTTTTCGCCTGAGAGGGAGTTGGTGGTTGAAGACAAAGAGGGGGAAGAAGGTGAGGCGGGGGTGCAGCTCGACTATTCCTATATGTTATTTGTTTGGGGCAAATCAATTAATCAACTTTCTTGTAATTCATGGACTAATTTCCATCTCCTCATTCACAAGATCTCAATTTTGTGTGGTTAGGAATGTGGGGGTTATGCAACCTCGACGGTAGTACTTAGAATGTGAATGGAATAAACACGACAACGTGTTGCAGCTAATGTCATATTTAGGGATCCTGGATTCCCCAAGATTGCTTATCGTCGATTTTTGCCATTATTCGCATTAATTCTCTAACATCGATTTTATCATGCTTTTATCAGGCCAAGGTCAACTTTGACTTGAATTGGTGTTCACTTTGGACTACTCACTCCGAACATGGCTGACGTTATTAAGGCCATCTTCTTCTCTGGTCTTGTCCTTGTATTAGCGTGGGAAGGTCGATTCTAGCGTCAAGAAGGGATCTGATACCGTTATTTGAGTGGTTTTCTCTTTGTTACGGGTAAACGTAACAAATTTTGGCGACGGGGGTGAGATGAGGGACAATGGCAAGGAACAATTACTCGAGCGGTTAGTGTCTGCTTGAAGATCGCCAGTCGTCTCAGGCCGCTCCTGCCAGTACGCCGGCAATTGACAGTCTCACCAACGGCATCTGGGAGTTTTCCTATGATCCGGAGTGTGGCGTAACGTTCGAGTCCTGGTATCGGCGTTTCGAAGACCTGTTCCGAGTCGACCTCTCGTCCCAGGACGACGCATGGAAAGTCAGACTCCTTACCCGCAAACTGGGTTCAGTAAAACTGAAGAAAAACACGGACACATTCCTCCCCATGTCCTCGCTCGACTTCACTTTTGGAGAAGCCGTTCAAAATCTCAAGCGGATGTATGGAGTTCGCATCTCCTTGTTCATTACCCGGTGCCGATGCCTCAAACTCGCAACAGGGGAGTTTGACGACTTCCTTGACCATCTAGCTGTGGTCAATCGAGAGTGCGAGGAAAGTCAGTTCAAATCAAAACTCTCATTTGCAGCTATTCACCAAATGCCGACTCCCAAAGATGTTCCCTCACTGCGCTCCTTCTTGGGAGTAATCAGCAATTACTTGTCTTTTCTACCGTCGATCCACAGTGTCAGACCACCTCTGAATCACTCGCTTGGAAAGGACGTACCTTGGGTTTAGCCCAACTAGTGCGAGCCGGCTTTCTGTCAACTCAAATAAATGTTTAGTTCGGACCTGCTGCTAACCCATTATGATCCAATTCTACCGATTGTTGTTGCAGCTGACGCATCCCTCCAAGGGCATCGGAGCCGTCATCGTCCACGTTTTTCCCGACGACACAGAAAAGGCCATAATGTACGCATCCAGGTAGCGGACAACGACAGAACAGTGTTACGGACAGATTGAAAAGTTCTCTCTTTGGTTTTTGCTGTCCGTCGCTTCCACTGACTCATTTATGACCGAAGATTCACTCTGCTGACAGACCACAAGCCGCTGTTGTCAATTTTTGGATCAAAAACAGGCGTTCCAACTCACTCCGCGAATCGCCTGCAAAGTTGGGCACTTATCCTATTGGGCCATGACTTCAAAATCTCAAACAGTTCGTTCGCTGCCGGTTTTAATTCTCGACATTAAATGGGAAACGATCTCGGACAACACATTTCGGCAGGCCATCCTTTGTGTCCAAGGCAAATGGACAAAACGCTCCCCCACCGGTGATCTTTAGCAGTTATTCCAGCGACGCGATTCCCTCTGCTTTCTAGACGGCTGCTTGATGTTCGGAGAACTCGTTGTGGCGCCCAAATTACTACACTTACGGGTTTTTTGTCGATTTCACACTAGCCATTCCGGCATCGGTCGCATGAAGCCTGTCACCCACAGCTACGCTTACTGGCCATTTATGGATCAGCAAATCGCAGACCTAATCAAGAGTTTTCGCCAATGCCAGCAGGCCCCAAGGAACCCTCGCTAGGTTCCTTTAGTCCCTTGGCCACAGCCACAAAAACCCTGGTCACGGATCCATATAGACTTTGCGGAACCGATCAACGGAGTCTCGTGCCTTGTGCTGGTGGATGCCTACTCGAAATGGCCGGAAATCGTCCCAATGACTTCTCCCACAACAATGAGAACACTGCAGGCTCTGTCCCAGATTTTCGGTCTCCATGGGATTCCGGAAACCATAGTCTCAGACAACGAATCTCAGTTCACATCGCAACAATTCAAGGAATTCTGTCGACAGCTCGCCATTACACACATGTATCCTCCATCCTACTACCCACAGTCAAACGGACAGGCGGAAAGGTTCGTCGACGCATTGAAGCCAGCCCTGCTAAAATCCCGTGGGGAAGGAACGAAGTCCATCGAAAGTTTACAAAATTTTTCGCTGGTGTGTCGTACAACATCAAACGAGGCTCTTCCAAATCGACAGTCGCTATCTGAGGCACTCACGGGTCGCACATTGCGCACAGCAAATTCCGCTATGATTCCGTTAAAAGACAACCGCCTGGAGCCTCTGAGTACGAAATCTACCACACCATTTGAGATTGGAACAGCCGTGTACGTTCGAGACTATGCACCAAGGCACGACCCATGGAAAGGACGTGTTCGACGTGACGGTGGGTCACGACCCGGGGTGAAGGCATCGTAACCAGCTCCGATGGAGAAAAGAATCTGCAACACCAAATCGCCAGACCAGCGTCCCACAGGATGTACGTTTCGACACTTTCCAGCTGCCGGTACCGGTAAAAACGCTAGTGAAGTCGAACAGAGATCAACTAGCAGCAGACAGGTCTTCACCCCTTGAAAGGCAGAGTAGTCGAAAACGACGGAAGCCAACACTACTCCAAGTCGACCCATAGAAGAAGCGTCACTAGCTTTTCAAGGGGGAGAAGTGCTGGGGATCCGGGATTCCTTAAGTTTGTTCATCGCCGTTTTTGTAATTATTTACATTAATTCGCTGACATCTGTTTTATTATCCTTTTTATCAGGCCAAGGTCAACCTTGACTTGAATTAGTCTTCACTTTTGACAACTCTTTCCGCACGTGGCTTACGTGATTAAAGCTCTCTACGCGAGCTGCGGTCTTGTCCTTGTATTAGCGTGCGAAGGTCGGTGCTAGCGTCAGCAACGGATCTGGTACCGTTATTTGAGTGGTTTTGTCTTTGTTACGGACAAACGTAACACATCTTTTTACGATACATTTCCGTTCATTTTTTGAAATCTCATGATCTAAACTCATTTCGGTTGTGTTTCGCGATCACCATCTCCGTCTACGCTGTTCCATTGCTTTTAGTTCGTCAGAAGCCGACGAGTTGAGTGGTCTCCACGTGGTCTACGGTGTTCTTGTCGAGGAGCTCGTTCATTGGCTGCTGACACCCGCCAGACAGGGGGACGTGTGCAATGTCTTCACCTGCCCGACCCACACTGCTCACCCGATTTCCGCGCCCGATCTGCTCCTGTGTGATGTCAGAGAGGAGTTCAAAATTGCCGCCGATCGTGTGATCCTGGAGCGCTTCCTGGGTCGCGGCGCCTTCGGCTCGGTTTTCTCGGGCTCCGCGTACCTGCCTACAAACGGCAAGAACAACTTTCTACTCAACCTCGCCAAGGTAACGCCCAGTGCAAACACTGCTCCTCTCTATTTCCGTTCAATTTTTTTTGCTCTGCAAACAGCATCGAGTTCGGGCAGGACAAAAATGCCCCGCCGCGTGTTTTAGACAAGAATTCAATTTGCTCGATTAAGTGAATCCGTATTTACTTATCATGAAATGCCGTCACGTGTTGCAGGCTCTCGCTTTAGTAAATATCGCTTCACTCACGTGATCTGAGCTCCCAACATCTGCCCCTCGATGTAACCTCGGTCTGGATCCAAATTGGGGCAGTGTGTAGAGGTCGACCACCAGTTGTACTAAACTACATGTATCTGACGCATCTGGTTTACTTGCTAGATCTCAGTCGGCGTAAAGATCTGCTCGCCAATGAATCCGAAGCAGAATGACATCCGGTTGAGCGATTGGCAGCCACAAATTAACGCCGCGGAGTCAGAAGAGGGGGAGGAGGAGGAGGAGGAGAAGAAGGAGGGTGTTTGCGATGGTGGCGCCGCGGCGGCACCCAGCGACTCCCAACGCGGACCCTCCGATCTCGATGTGGCACTCGCCCTCTACAAGCAGGAGCACCGGCGATGGGCGTTTCAGCCGGTCGAGTCCTGCTACATCGCCTATCAGGTGAGTTTTTGTGGCATTGCTTTGCCACAATGCACCATTCTGTGATGGCGGTTGTGTTCACTTCCTCACGTACTCTTTTCTTACTGTGAGTTGGACTTGATAAATGGCTAGTTTGTCAGTTAGATTTGAACTGATCTGTTATAACCTGAGGGTTTGGAAATAGCACAAACTCACATTCCACGAGTTGCCTATCTATCGTCGTGGCGTCTGCCATCTTCAATCTCTTCGAAAGCCAACTCGCGTGGGTTGTACAACAGGTGATTCACAACGTGCCGTCAGCTATGGGAACTCCAACTCATTTCGGATTATCACGAATGTTCATCCTTGATTATCCCTTCATGTTAGCGCATTTATGACTTATGAGTGCACACGCGGTTGAGCTGTTTAGTAAACGGTTGTAGCCCTTACCATCTCCGGTCTTCTTCGTCATCACGGATATCCGTGTAGAGTGAAGAGGCCAATTCCATTCAGCGGCCGGCTTGGTTTGAGGCCTCATGCCTGGACCCACAATAAATCCTTTCACACTCGCTTGAATCGTGCTCCGTCGTCGAGGGTGGATTTCATTCTGCTAACCTTGTCCTGGTGTTAAACTGTGCATAGTTCATTAGCTCCGCATAAATCACGCCAAACACTTCTATAAGGCGTCCTAAGGGCTGCAGGTTAACCAAGCGCCCATCACCACCACCCACTTGTTCCCATTCTAGTCGATTATTTGTCGAGTTCTCTTGGAGGTGGAGGAGTGGAGTAGGAAAACACTTTTTTCGGAACAAAGTTTTGCGTGTCACCTTCAAAGGGCGGTAAATGATTCGGCTTGAAGAAGTTATTTTGTAAAAAAAGCCCAACTCGAGTTGTGGGCAGTGGGCGGATAGCACTGAATTTCGGACATCGCTTGAAATGCAATTATTGCAGTTATATTCGCCTCGCAGTGGTCTTCTCATTTCGCAATTTCACCACCAGGAACTGCGCTCGGAGCTCGCCGTTCTGCTGCGCATCGTGACCGACAGCAGCGCCACGGTCGACTTCAACGATAGACCCTCCAGCTTCCTGTCAAGAACACCAACAATTTCGGGCACCCTCCAGAGAAGCGCTCGTCTGCGTCGAAGCGCCCGCACCAGGCCACGTCTGTTCGCCGTCGACCTGCTCACTCACAACCCGCGCATGAGTCACCACCTTCTCACGTGCCTCGGTGTTGTGTGTCCCCGACCCCTCTGCCTTCTCTTACCCCTGGCGCCTTGTGGAAGCCTCTCCGATTGGCTCAACGAAATGCACAAGCTCTACGAGGAGGCGGGAGGCAGTTTCTTCCCCATTCACACCATCACGCTAACCTGCATTGTCAATCAAGTGAGTTTTCGCTAGGGCTGTAGGCTGTTTCTTTAACCTCGTCAGCCGAGTCTTGCTGTTGATGCTGGCATAGTGTCATCGATGAAAAGAATGCCCGTGTT